CAGTGCAGGGGCAGGCCGATCACGAGCTGCAGGCGCCAAGACCGGCGTCCCGTGGTGACAATGGCGTGAGCACACAAGCGCAAGTCAACAGCCAACAGGGGCAGGCCATGGACGGGGATGCCGTGTTGCCCGCACACAGCCCTGTCACTGCACCCCACACCAGTGAATCTGCTCCCACAAGTCCGGCGCAGCCATCGAACTCCACTGCCGTCACTAGCAAGGAGGTGGTCAATCGTGGACACGAAGAAAGCGCTCAACAATCACCATCACCACCAAGTCCACACCCGACAACGGTGTCACCCGAGGACACGCAGGCGCAGCCACAACAGACACCACACACACCCAGCAACACAGCGCAGCAACAGCAACAGCAACAGCTGTCTCCGCCACCGTCGCAGGAATCATCACAGCAAAGGCGGCGACTCACGCAGCATGAAATTGTGCAGCTGTTGGATCTGGCAAGGGAAGCGGGCATCGCCGCGCTCAAGGGTCGGCGCGGCCTGCAAGACCACTGGAAAGTCGTCACGGAGCAATTTAATGCGGCCTGCCCGAGTGGTGATCGGCCTCCACTCACGCCGACGGGTGCACAGGTTGGTGTATGCAGCTGAGCGGTCTTTGTCTGTCTGTCTGTCTGTCTGTGTGTGTGAGTGGTGTGTGTGTGTGTGTGTGTCTGTCTGTCTGTCTGTCTGTCTGTGTGGTGTGTGTGGTGTGTGCGTGTGTGGCGGGGGATGTTGCGTGTCTGTCTCAGTCTCTGTGTCTCTCTCTGTCTGTCCCCCCTCTCTCTGTCTCTCTCTGCGCCCTTTTCTGCCTCTCGCTCTTGCGGTTTAGTGTTTGCGTAGATGCAGCTGAACACTTGCCTGCAGCTAGCAGCATGCGTGTAATTGTTCAGCTTTTGCCTGCTGACGATGCTGCTGCTCACCCTACCTGCACGCGCATCATGTGTCGTCATGTGTCGGTGAACCCGCTCTCCTCCCCTTCCACGACCAGAAACGCGTTGCGCGGGTTTTAATGGACATCAGACACCACGACGTCGCTCCAAATGCCAATCTCAGCCAAAAGTCGTTCCTGACACAGCCCGCGGTACAGCATGCCGCACGCAGGTACTTGCAATCGGGTAAGGCGAGAGGCAGCGGTGGTGGTGACATGTCGGCAGGATCACACCGCAGATCTACAGACGCAGCAGCACCAGCGCCCACGACGACGGACTCGCCTCCTGCACCAGCATCCACTGGTACTGGCCCCCAGTCCATTCCTACTCCTTCTGCATCCAGTCGCGAGCACGCGAGCACACGCACGTCTCCGTCACTGCCACCATCGTCATTGTCATCATCATCGTCTATGGCACCGCGTGTGCTCGACACTGCACACGACATGACGAGCACAGCAACACATGCAACAGCAGCAGCCACGCTGGTGAACCCGCATGCAGTCTCCACCAGCACCAGCACCAGTAGCATGAAGATGGGTGCACACAGGCCACAGCACGTATTGCGTCATGGCTACAGCACACGTCAGAGGGGTCGACAGGCGATTAGTTCCGCTGTCTCAGCAGCACTGGGTGGGCAAACACGTGGTGGTGGCGACGAGCATAATGAAGATGGTGATGGTGGTGATGGCGAAGAGGATGACGATGATGATGATGATGATGATGATGATGATGTTGTTGTTGTTGTTGGTGAAGAGAAACAGGGGCAGGAGCAGAGTAAGGTGGTTGCGAATGAGCAAGGGCAGATGACCAACGGGGATCGTGGTGGGAACAAACACCAACTTCAGACGCGTGGTGCCGCTGCCAGAACCGAAACGGCTGGCAGACCTGTTCGTACCAGTGGCCACGAAGCTGCTGGTGGTGATGGTGATGGCGATGGTGGTGGTAGTGGTGTGCCACCGCCTAAGCGTCCAAAGCGATCGAGCAGTGCCGCGGGCCAGCAGCGGAAGAGACAATACCGGTGCAATGTGTGCGGGGACGTTGGTCACAACAGGCGGCGATGCCCTGTTGCAGCCCTGCAGAGGAGCCAGGAGGAGGGCATGGGCAGCGCGGCAGGTGTGGGCGCAGCGAGTGCGGTTGGCAGCACGCGGTCGTCGCTGCAATCAACACCACGGCAGCGGCGTGGTAGAACCGACAACACCAGCAGCCGTAGTAGCAGCAGGACCAGCACGCAAGAAGCCCAGCACCAGCACCAGCAGCAGAATCAGCAGCTGGTGCAGGAGAGCCAGCAGGTGCGTGTGGCCAGTGCCCCACTACCCGTCAACAGCCAGGATGGCGCAGATGATGTGACGATGTCGTCGTCATCAATCTCAGCTGTCGCCCTTCAACAGCCGCAACAACAACAACAACAACAACAACAACAACAACAACAACAACAACAACAACAACAACAACAACAACAACAACAACAACAACAACAACAACAACAACAACAACAACAACAGCGACATCAAGAGGCAGAGGCAGAAGAAGAAGAAGTTGCCATGCTACCACTGCCCACAACTTCTTCTCAACTCAGGTGAATTTTACCTTTTGGTGACATGCACGCACCCACAGCCACTTGCCTGCACACGCTTCCACACACTTGCTTGTGTACTCACTTCCACTTGCACGCATTCACACACGGGCCAGCGAGCGGGCGTGGCAAGAGGAAATGCTGTGGATTGCCGGCGAGCGGCTGAAGGTTGAGCGCCAGCGATTGGCACTCGAACGGCAAAGGGCACAAGAACACGCAGTTCAGCAGGTACGCACGTGTGTGTACTTACATTTGTGTGTGTCTGTGTCTGTGTTTATGTGTCTGCGTTTATGTACGTGTGTGTGCGTGTTGGTGTGTTGGTGTGTTGGTGTGTGTGTGTCTGTCTGTCTGTCTGTCTGTCTGTCTGTCTGTCTGTCTGTCTGTCTGTCTGTCTGTCTGTCTGTCTGCCTACCTGTCTGTCTGTCTGTCTGTCTGTGCTCAGCGTTGATCTGCCATTGCTTGCTTGATCCCCTGCCTGCATCATGTACCTTGCCCCGACTGTGCACTGTGCGTGCGTTCACTTTGATTTGTGCATGGGTGCGTGTCATGTCACATCACGTCCATGCCCCGCCGGGTGACCAGCAACAATTTGCAACATTGCTATCGACAGCCATCGAAAGCATGGTGCGTAACGCTTGCACATTACATTTGCCTGGTTTCTGTTTGTGCGCACGAATGAGCGCTCTGCCGCTTGTTTTGTGTGTTTGACATGCATGCGCACCCCCCCCCACACCCACACGCACCCACACGCACACTCGCACACAAATGAGCGCATTCACTCACCACGTTTGACAACCGGCTTTGCTTACAGACTGAGATGACAAAGGTGTTGTATCAAAACAAGAAACAACACGAGTAACCAGTGTCGCTGAGCGAACTGGCACCCCTTCTACCATATCATCACGTTACCCACCCATCATGTCAGTTGCCTCCTTTGCGCTTCTGTCGACCTGCTGTTGTCGTCGTCGTTATGGTACATTACGTTTTACAACCAGACGAAAATGAACATAATGGATGGAAAGAACCGGCCGGTGGAACGATGAACGACGATGGTGGGTTGTTCGGGCGAACCATTTCTGTAACACGACACCATAAATCGTAGTGGATATTGGACGACTTGGCAACTGCTGCTGCCTTGCCTCGCTTGTGTCGTTGATGTTGTGGGACTTGTTGCCTTGCACCCTGTCTCTGTCACACAAGTGCCGCAAGCAGGCAGCGCCCTCCCCCATCCACGCTTCTCCACATGCTGCATGCAATCGGCAACCATCATGCAAGCAGACGGGCGTTACGACGACCCGCTCGCAGATGACTCGGCCGCATATCATCGCCACCAGCACCAATATGGACACGATGCCGGCCATGATGCTGCGACAGGATGGGATCAACAAGAAGCCTACCATCAACAACAACAGCAGCAGTATGAACATCAACAGTACGGACATCAACAACAATCTCAACAACAAGAGCAGCAGCCAAGTGTTGAGAACACCTGGCTGGCGGTGAGCTTGTCTTGATGCTGGACGCACTCTGTGTGCGTGTGTGTGTGTGAGAGTGAGAGAGAGTGAGATTGTTTGTTTGTGTGTGCGTATGCGAGTGTGTGTGCGTATGTGTGCGTGTGTGTGATAGGGAGCGGGATCTCTCACGCATGGCTTCGCTCCTCGTGGAGCGAACTGTAGACAACAAGCGTTGAAACTGTGGTCACGCTGTACCGTGTACGCAGTGTGCAACACCTGCCGCTCACGTCCGAATCACATGCAACCTTGCTGGGTTGGCCGACCCTCTTCTTTGTGTCACACACTACACATGGAGAACAGAATGATGGGCGCCAAACACTGCAGGAGCAATTGATACAGCGCTACCACCAGGCTGCAAGCATGCAACACGCCGCCGAGGTGCGTGCGTGCGTGTGTGCGTGGGTGTGTGGGTGTGTGGGTGTGGGTGTGGGTGTGGGTGTGGGTGTGTGTTTGTGGGTTGTGACCGTTGGATGACCAAGCAAGCGGTGTGAGTTGACTGATGCAAGCGAGCGTGTCTCCTCTTCGCGTTCTTCGCTCTCATGCGCGTCCCAATTCCAACAGATCCAACAGCAGGCGGCTCTCGCTCACCAGCGCGAGTGGTATGCGCAGCAGAACCTTGAAGGTAAGCCAATTCGTCCATGTCATGGCTTGCACTCAATTCATGCGCTACCCAGGCCCATACATCAGTTCCCCCCATGCCATCGCTCGCATCGTCTCACGTGTGGATATACATATGTATGCAAATGCGTGACCGTGTGACAGCGCACTTTGCTGCTGCTGTAGGCGATGCAAAGATGCTCAAGTTCCTGTGCTCCCAGCGACCTCGCCTCATCAACAAGCAGGTGCACGCACATAACCACGATGGCTTCAGTTGCCTGGCTGTGTGGTCACGTGGATAGCTGGCATGGCTGTAGCTGGCATGGCTGTGTTCATCATGTCAACCCTTGGTCACTCAGTTGCATGTTTGCCGCTTGTGCGCGTGCATCTTCAACAGGATGACCAGCAAAAGACGCCTCTCATGTATGCCGTGGTCAACAACCACACCGACGCCGTAAACATGCTCATTCGGGTGCGCGAAGCAGTGCTCTCCTGCACATGTGTGCATTGTCTCACAAAGAATACCGCATGTTTGCGTATCGTGTGTGTATGTGCGAGTGAGTGAGTGAGAGAGAGAGTGTGTGTATATGTGTGGTGTGTGTGAGTGAGTGCGTGAGTGAGTGAGTGTGTGTGTGTATATGTGTGGTATGTATGTGTGAGCGAGCGAGCGAGTGAGTGAGTGTGTGTGTGTGATTGGGAAGCAAGATTGTGAAGGAGTGACACAAGGAGGGAGACGCACTCATGCACGCGTTTGTTGTTCTGCACATCTGCAAAGCGCAGGTGTTGCATTTTTAATCGTCCATCTCACTCCTCCCATCCTCTGAATGTCTTGCTTGCAGGCACGCGTACGATTGAACACTACAGATGCCGAGGGCCTCACGGCGTTGCATCATGCCGTTATTGGTGATCATCTTCCTTTGGTCAAGACGCTGCTTGGCGCTGGTTCGTTTGCCATCGGTTCGCCTGCTTCAACGCCATGCATTCACGCTGAGGGGTGCTTTGCTTGGGGCTCAACAGCTTGCGAACACCCATGTCGGCATGGACTTGCACACATGCACACATGCACACACATACATACACACATACATACATACATACATACATACATACATACATACATACATACATACATACATACATACATACATACATACATACATACATACATACATACATACATACATACATACATACATACATACATACATACATACATACATACATACACACAATCAATACCCCTGGCCAACCCCCAGGCGCCAAGCCGAGTGTTCGCGATGCAAACGGGCGCACACCACTGCACCACGCCACACGATGCTCAAACATCAAGTTGGTGCACAGTCCTGCATGTGTGCACGTGCTGTGTGGTGTATCGACTGTTTACTCTCTGTGTGTGTAAGCTCTCAGCTGTTTGCATGCGCGCGAAAATGCCTCTCTGCCTTTCTGTAACGCGTCGCCTTATCCTTTCGCCCGCTCGTGCTCACTGCGACTGCAGATGTGCAATGGAATTGCTCAAAGCACCCATCAAGAACTACATCAACGCAAAGGTGACCGCATACGCGTGCTGCACGCCATCATCCCCAGCGTGAACCAACACATGCAACAATACCAATGTATACACAGCACCCAACGTCACCCTCAATCACACACTCGTTTGCGGGAATACTTGCGTTTGTCCGCTTGCCTGTACATGTGCCTGTGCATGCATGTATTCTGTGGTGTGCATGTGCCCGTGGCGCCATCAGGATGGGGATCAGATGACGCCGCTGCATTGGGCCTGCTACTACCGCCAGCCACAACACGTCGCCATGCTGCTGCTGCGCGGCGCGAGTGAGGATGCTCTCGATGTTGACAAGAAGGTACAGAACTGAGGGAACTTGCCAGTTTGGTCGCTTGCATGCATGCTTGCCTGCCTGCAAGCATTTGTAGTGTTTGGGTTGGTTTTTCCCTCTCCTTGTGTTTGGTTACATTACTCCTCTGCTCTTCCCCCCGCCATTCACGTGCTCGTATCAGCTCACGGACTCCTCCACTCCTGCTCTGTGTGTGGCTGTGTGTGTGTGTGTGTGTATTGTGGCTGTGTGTGTTGTGGCTGTGTGTTGTGCTTGCTCCTCGTTGAAAGACGCCGCTGCATTGGGCGGCCCAGAATGGTGATCCCATGTGTGTCACCTACCTCCTGGAAAGGTGAGTGTGTGCACGACACCACTCATCCGGCGCACGTGCATGCAACCAGATGCACCTGAAGCACTGAAGTGCTTTCACGCGTGGATCGATTTTGTCAAGTGCATTGTTTGTCGTGGTCATCACACTGCGTGCTGACGCTGCTTGTTTTGTCGATCAACTCACGCACGTGTATCATGCGGTGTGTCTGTCACTGTTCTTGCGATGCAATGGAGCAGCAAGTCTGCAGCGCGCATCAACCAGCGTGACAAGCAAGGACTCGCCTCCATCCATCTCGCTGCTGCCGCCGGCCACCACAACGTCCTCAAGGTGTGCATGTGTTTGTGTGTGTTGTGCTGTGTTGTGTGTGTGTGTGCCCTTGTGTACATATGCGTGCTTCTCTAACATCGCTGCTACGTCTTCCCTCCATGCTCATGTCCCTGCACCACTTGCCCATCGTACCGCGCATCGCAGGTGCTGTGTCGTGTTCCCTCCATCAAGATTGACGCTGCTGATCCAAACGGGCGCACGGCGCTGCACTGGGCGGCGGCTGCTTGTCAGGACAAGGCAACTACCACCCTTCTCTCCTTTGGCGTACGTGACATGCCCAAATCACACACGTGTCTGACACTCATGGATGCTGTATGCACACACGGGCATTCTCGCGCGCATGCGCGCACACACACTATGTGTGTGTGTGTGTCTCTCTGTCTCTGTCTGTCTGTGTGTGTGTGTGTCTCTCTCTCTCTCTTTCTCTCTCTCTCCCTCCCTCCCTCCCTCTCTCCCTCCCTCTCTCTCTCTCTCTCCTTCTCCCCCCCCACACACACACAAGCTCACGTGAATCTGTTCTTGCCCATTTCTGCGCCGTTATGAACAGGCCCACCCGTGCAAGACCGATAAGATGGGACAAACACCGCTCGCATATGCACTCGCACGGGAAGCGCCAGCCTCCCTCATGGGCCCGCTCTCGGTAAAATCCATGTTGCGTGTGTGTGTACGTGTGTGTATGTGTGTGCGTGTGTGTTGCGCATGTCGTACGATGTGTGCATGCATTGACTTGCATATGGCTTTGTACCGCTGTCTGCGGCTTGTACATGTACCCCCCCCCCCCTGGGTTTCCCGGGGTTTCTTGCTCACTGCCTGCACATTTCTTGCTCACGGACATGTTCAGGAACCGGCAATTTATTTTCCCAGAACAAAAACACTCTCTCACACCGATCGTGAGACGTATGTGTGTGTGTGCATGTGGGTAGCTGCTTATTTCACTGCTGTTGTTGCCGCACGATACAACTGTGTGGTATTGTCGCTTTCACGTCCTGACATACACCAAGCTCTTGTCTCTCCACGCACACAACGCCCACACCATCCATGTACTCACATCATGCATTCACCTCCTATCCCTCCATCGCTACCATCCAACTTGCGTCTTCCTTCCAACCACCAGCGACCCATCACTATCCCCTGCTGTCCGACGGCACGCGAGCACACCGCTCGGTACCCGCCTCACCCGCCAGTCGAGAAAGGTTGGTGCCTTGCAACACATGGCATTGGTGCACGCATACAAATCAGCGCGCGCGCACACACTCACACACTCACTCACTCACTCACTCACTCACTCACTCACTCACTCACTCACTCACACACACAAACACTAACTAACACACACACACTAACTAACACACATATTCACAATCACACACCAACACACACACACACACTAACTAACACACATATTCACAATCACACACCAACACACACACACACTAACTAACACACACACACTAACTAACACCAACACACACACACACTAACTAACACACACACACACAATCACACACCAACACACACACACTAACTAACACACACACATTCACAACCACACACACTCACTCACACTCACTCATACTCTCGTGCAGGCGGACTTGAAGAAGAGTGGACGAAGCAAAACCGAACCCATGGACACGGCGGCACATAGCAGCAGCACGCGAGACGACGCAAAGTCCAGGAAGAGCAGGGCAGCGCGGGGCGAGGGGCAGCCGGCTGATGATCACAACAGCGACAGCAGCGTACACCAGAGCAAGAGCAAAGGGAGAAGCCGCCGCAGCAGTAGCAGCAACGGCGGCGGTAATGGTGGTGGTGGTGGGTCATATGCGGCCATGCACAAGAGCAAGAAATCGCCAGTTGATGTGCGAGCAGACAGCAGCGGTCGGCAGAACCAAGCGCACACACGCACGCACGGGCGAAGTCGAAGCAACAGCCACGGCAACCATGCAAGGACGCACGGCAGTAATGGGTACAGCAGCCAGACAGGCACACGAGGGAGGAGCAGGCGTAGGAGCGTTTCGAAGACGCGTGAAGAGGGCGGAAACGGTGGTGCCAGCATGACGCAATCGAGACGAAGGACAGCACGAAGGAGTCAATCACGCGGTAATGATGGCGCTGGCGATGACCAGCCGCACACGAGCTCATCGGGTGGCGGCCGCGGCGACGCTTATCACGATGAGGATGGCAGGGGTGATGGTGATGGTCACGATGGAGCCGAGTTGGGGAGGAGAAAAGCCGCGTCTCCACGCCACTTGTCGCCGTCAAGCGCCCGCACACGCCTGTCCCCGTCCAGAGAGAAGATGTCTCAGTCCCATAAGGTGAAGGGAAGCATTGCTGACACGAGAAACGCCATGCTTGCAAACATCGATGTTGTGCAAGGGGATCGGCATGAGACAGCTTCGCCCGCTATTGATCGTGGTGACACCGAGGACAACGACAGCGTATCTGCTCTCAAGCAAGAACGTGACGCCGCCGTGGCGCAGGTGCGTGTGTGTGTGTGTGTGTCCCTGTGTGTGTGTGTGTCCCTGTGTGTGTGTGTGTGTGTGCGTGCGTGTGTTGCGTGCATGTGTGTCTGTGTGTCTATGTCTGTGTGTGTTGGCCCTCCGTCTTTCTCTCTCTCTCTCATCGTCATCACCATCGGGGTTGTTTTTCATTTGTCTCGGGTCATTTCAAACACTGACCGTTTCTTCGCGCTGTGCATCTGTTCTGGTGAGCAGGCCACGCACCTTCAGGCGCGCGTGCGTGAACTGGAACGAGAGCGCGATCGCGCCAAGTCTGCGCAGCGCCGCGTCGACGAACTTGAGACTAAAGTGCGCGTTTCTGTGCTTGTGTGTGTGTGCGTGCGTGTGTGTGTGTGTGTGTGTTCCTTTTCATTCACCACTCTGCTGCCTCTTCCAACCTGTCCTGTTCTCCCATGCAGCTTGCGTCTGTGATGCGGCAGCTGGCTGCTGCTGAGCGGGAAAAGGACCGCACACTTGAAGGTCTTCGCGGACACGACAAGCGACGACAACACACGCGCACTGGTGTGTGCGTGTGCGTGTGTGTCTGCGTGTGCGTGTGCGTGCATGTATGTGTGTGCGTGCATGCATGTGCGTGCGTGTGTGTGTGCGGGTATGTGTGTGCTGGTTTCTCTTCTGCTTCTTTTTCCACTTCTTCGGGTGTACAAGCCATGTGCATGCGTTTGTGAGCGGGTCGATGCGTGCAACAACTTTCACTTGAAGATGCATTCCCCCTCATCGACCAGGCTCTGATGTCGCGCGCCTGCACGTTCTACTTGCTCACATTGGTTTTTTTTTTTTTTTCATTTTGCTTTATCGTGCTTGCAGGCACGGGCCGGCTTCCCGCCATCAACAGCAAGGGCTCACGCCAGGCGACGAACCTCAAATCAAACGGAGGATACGCGCAGCGGCAGCGCTCGCACCTCAACGCTTCAACACAGGTGCGTCCATCTGTTGGTTGGAGTTTGCACGTCCAGATCAGATTGTATGTATGTGCATGTACGCGCGCGCGCGCGCGCGTGTGTGTGTGTGTGTGTGTGTGTGTGTGTGTGTGTGTGTGTGTGTGTGTGTGTGTCCATCGTCCGCGCAGTTCTGCCAACCATCCAATCCTTTTTATTTGGGCTGTTTCTCACATCAACCGCTCTGTAATTGACAGAAACGTTCACATCCCCATCGCAAATGAGTGCGGCTGTGGCCTGCATCGTTTCACACGCGCTCGCCCATCCAGCTTCCTCACGTGCACACAAAGCCGCTCGCGCGTCTGTCTCATCTGCTTGTTTCCCCTCCCCATATCCGTCCACTGCACAGTCGATGGCGCCTTCTTTGCCTGTCCATATGTATGAACATGTGCCTGAATGTGTGTGTATGCGACCCTTTCTTCTCCAATTTTCACCCGTAATATCATGAGTTATCCTTCACTTAGTCGAATCGACATGGCCTGCTGTCACCCCTCTGTGTGTGTGTGTGTGTGTGTGTGTGTGTGTGTGTGTGTGTGTGTGTGTGTGTGTGTGTGTGTTTGTGTCTGTGTTTGAACGCAAGTCCCTTTGGGACTGGAGTGAACACATTGCTATTCGCGCTCATAGAACCGACCACTTGAAGTCTTTGGATGAATGGATGTCAATGCGGATGCAAACAGCAATCGGGAGGTGAACAATGTGCGTGGCGACTACACGGCGGGTTCAGCGCGAGGGAGAGGAGAAGAGCCAGAGTCGCATCAACAACACACGAGGCTCAGGGAACCATGAGGGAGGCGAGAACAACGCCAAGTGCAATGAACAAAGCAAGCAAGCAAGGCAACAAAGAAACAAGCAAGAGGGGAAAGGGAAGTGGGAGACGATGCTGAGTTCACTGTCATGGACTGGGAAGCATTCAAGCAGAGCATGAAGGGTTGCACTCGTACGGCGCTTGAGTGTTGAGAACGCATGGTTCACGCGTGCTCTTCTTGGCCGGTGTCGATGTGTCTGAGCGCCACCACTGCGACACGGCCTCCTGCATCGTCACGCCGTTGATCTGCAGTCACGCAACGGCGATGTGCGTGCGTGCGTGCGTGCGTGTGTGTGTGTATGTGTGTGTGTGTGTGGTGTAGAGTGGCGTGTGTGTGTGTGTGTGTGTGTGTGTGTGTGTGTGGTTGAGCAATTGTGAGCTTGAGGAAAGAAGTGTGACAACAGAAGGCATGTGTGCGTGTGAGTTGCTGCGACACGCAGTTAATTGCTCTCACGCACAACTGTGCGAAAATACACACACACACACGAACAAACATACACACAACAGACAAATTCACACACACACGCACACATCCACGCCCGCGCCCACCTTGAACTTGTTGTAGGCACTTGTCTGTCCAGCGCAATGGGTGTGGCAGCTGTAGAGAAAAGCGCCGTTGCCTGCAGACAAAACAAAAAACCACACGTAACACGAAAGAGCGGGTAAGCCCAGGGTGACTTGAGAGGCAGAGGGAAGGGAGCAGCTTCTTCTGTCGTCACGATTGCGTTCGCATTTGGTGGTTTTGATTGTCACTTGCATATGCAAGCGCGCCCACCCCAAACCACATGCGCGGCGCACGAACGAACCGGTGTTGTTGTACGTATCAATGGCCCGAATTGTGTTCAAAAACACAGTCTCATACTGTCAACAAAACAACACAACAATGTGGGAGGTGTGAGTCAGAGCTTGCGTTGGGGATGAGAGCTGAATGCGTCACCAATTTGGAAACAACACACACGCACACACACACACACACAAATACCACAAACACCACAAACAAACAAACAGCACCACACAACACACAAACAAACAAACAGCACCACACAACACACAAACAAACAGCACAAACAGCACAAACGAGCTGTAACACTCACGTTGACCATCTGCGGCATCTGTTTCGTGGTGCACTTGTCAAGGTGGCCTGAGAGAACAGCAGAACAAAACATTTGAGGAGGGGACACGCGTGAGAGGAGCCACGTGTGCTTGTATTCATGTCGCAGAAAGCAGACGACAACAGTAAACACACAAATGCATGACAAACCGCAGCACAAACCAAGACAGATTGCAAGAGGAGCCAAGCCCAGTTCAGCGAGGGACAAAAAGAGTACGCACGGGAGCAGTCGGACCAGCCGGGGGCAGCGCCGCAGTGGCCGTTATCCGTGCTGATGCAGTGATGCGATGGCGGCGGCGATGTGATGTGGTGGTGCGAGAGCAATGACATGGTGATGGTGAGCGGCGAAAAGCGAATGAAAGTTGAACAGATCGCAAGCAACATTGGGGCGTTTGTCGTGGTATGACATGACCGTGACCGTCGCAAAAAAAAATACAAAGGGGTGGAAATGATGGCGGGCAAACGCAGGTAAAGTGCATGGTGCAGCAGCTGTATGCAGATGTGTGCACACCTGTTTGGAGGCACGGGCTCGCTCGTGTAAATGCAGGCGGTCTGCCACGAGTCAAAGGCTGCAATTTGGGAAAAGTGTGTGTGTGTGTGTGCGGGCGTGTGCGTTGTATGTGCATTGTGCATTGTACGTGTGTGTGTGTGTGTGTGTGTGTGTGTGCGGGCGTGTGCGTTGTATGTGCATTGTACGTGTGTGTGTATGAGCGTGCAAATTCCAGAAATGCTGTCGCAATCACACGTGGGCGTACGAGGTGACAGCGTTTGTCTCAACATGCGTTCTGCGCGCATGCACGCCACGAACAGCACATCCACGAATCAAGCCGTTGAGAGCAAAGAGTGTCGCGTTGACACGCGCACGACGCACATGACACACCCGAGTTGAGCACGAAGAATGGGCTTTCGATGACTTGATACGTATCAGCAGCAAAGTTGCACTGCCACTGCAGAAACGACGGCTTGCTGTGTATGGTGCCGTTGAGACGTTTGATTGTACGCGAAGGATGTGTTGCCGTAAATGAGTGGACAACAAATCAGATCATCACATTCAACACCGATGCACGCACACATGCACACACGCGCACACAAAACCGCACACATGCATACACACGTGCACACCGCCACTGCACACGCACCTTGCAATGCATTTGTCGTTGACGCCATGCGTGGCGTTGGACAGCAGGAAAATGGTGTTCATCTGGTTGGGATACACAGGCTTGCCTGCAAGCACCAGCACCATCACCAAAACGTAAACCAAACAACCAATAAGCTCTCAGATCTCTGGCACCCTTGCACCTTGAAGAACGCATGCTGGTGCAACACAGCCCCGGGCACTTGAACACACGCACCCTCGCACGCACACAGGCGCAATCGCATGCATGCACGCGCGTTCATGTTTTCACATTCCTTCCCGCTCGTTTTAAAAGCCCTGCCATACCTTCGACAGTGTCGTGGAGGAGAAAGAAGCCGGAGATGGAGAGTGCCTTGAAAGTCTTCAGTGTGGACACGCTCTGCTGCAGCTGATCATGCACGTAATCTGAACACAGCCGCAACAAACGACAGGGGGGGGGGGGGCATGTGTGTGTGTGTGTGTGTGTGTGTGTGTGTGTGTGTGTGTGTGTGCAGGCACAAGCGACAACCGCACATGTGATAGACAGGAGTCAATAACATGTACACACACACACACTCATCCACATGTACAGAACGAGAGGGGGGTAGTAACTGCTGCACCTGCGTGGAGATATGTTGCGAGTCCGCCTGCAGAGCACCCCGTGAGGAGAACGTCGGTGGCAGACGACAGGCCCTTGGCCATCAGCGACCTGAGCGACCGCAAGACACGAGGAGGTTGTGTGTGTGTGTGTGAGAGAGAGATAGGATGTGTTTGTGTGTGTGCGTGCGTGTGCTAGTGTGTGTGTGCGTGTGTGTGCGTGAGTGTGTGTAGGTTATGAAAATCAAATCGCAGGAGAGGATGTGTTGTGCATCGCCATAGCGAGCGCAGCTCACTTGAGCACGGCGTCGACAATGCGATGGCCACGGAAGTAAACCTGGAAGAGCCACAGCACAGCATGCATGAGTGTTGAGGATGTGAAGACAGAGGGATAACCAAGCGCACATGCGTTCGTTGTTCTCCACCAACACTTCAGGAGAGGGGTGTGATTCTCATGTGTCATGTGTGGGTCAGGCCTGCACACCCAGTCATCTCTTCACGAGCACGTGCATGTACGCCTGCACGCAATGCGATGCTGCAGACCTTGTCACCATTCACAACAATGGGCTCGTCGCGATTTCCGCTGAAGGAGTTGCCATCACAGTAGCTGCGTCATCATAACATGTCATGTCGCGCCAAAGCGATATTGGCGACGCATCGTGTACATGTGTGAGTGTGCATGTGTGAGTGTGAGTGAGTGTGTGTGTGTGAGTGTGAGTGAGTAAGTGTGTGTGTGTGTGAGTGTGAGTGAGTAAGTGTGTGTGTGTGTGAGTGTGTGTGTGTGAGTGTGTGTGAGTGTGAGTGAGTAAGTGTGTCTTTCATGACCGTAAGCTCTAATCGGCTATGGCTTGTGCGCACCTAACGCTGCATGCCCGCGGTTAAAAAATAAACCGCTTGGTTCAGTGTGGCGGTTTATAGTGCTCTGATTAGACGTCTCTTCGGGTTCACATAGAATTTCGGTAAGCCTTCAGGTATCAACGTTGAACAACCGAGGTGTGAGCCGCTGTGACTGGAATAGGAGTCAGACAAGTTCTCCCCGGTGCGACCTTGGGAAGCTTACATCACTGTGAAACTAAGGAAGGTGAGAGGATTCCCGCCGCGATCCGTCTGATCACCTTGGGGCTTTTTTGCAGCCTGAATATGTACTAATATGCTTAAGGTTGGGATGAACAGAATATTCCGTGCGCCCGTAACTAAGATCATGAATGCACGCAATCGGACCAACATACATGTGGCGGAGTCCCGCAACATATAAAGGAGAATGTTATTTACGTAGATAAATTGCCATGTTCATCTAAGCAAATTACTGAACCCGCTAAAGTTAGAAGTCCACTCTCATAGGTAGCAGGAACAGTAAGAGACGCCATACACGTCTTGAGATCCACATCGGTGACCAGGTTATGAGGACAATGTAATGACTGCATGGAGTGAGTAAGTGTGTGTGTGTGTGTGAGTGTGTGTGTGTGTGTGAGTGTGAGTGTGTGTGTGAGTGTGAGTGAGTGTGTGTGTGTGTGTGCATGTGTGTGTGCATGTGTGTGTGTGGTTGACTGTGGCAAACAACGTGTGAGAGCTGATGACGTACCCAATGTGAACGCGGTTCCAGTTGCAGAAGTCGGGGTTGACGTTGCAGTCGCTGCTCATGATGCCATCAATGGAGGATGTGGCTGGCCACCTGCCCGAGTGGAGACAACAGACCATGCATGCGCAGTATCAGGCAGGAGCAAGATGGGCACAGCAGCCGCACACATATCAACAACGAAAACGCCGCCACACACATGCACACATGGGTCTACACATACTCACACACGTGCACACTCCCACACATGCACAAAGACGTGATAACGTACGACTTGGAAGAGCCAAGGTCTGTTTTGCTACGTCCCCAGCAATCCTGTTCGTCGTAGCACCAGCCACCACCTGCACGAGGACAGAGAAAGGTGGTGCGGGGCACGTTGATCATGAAGCCGTCTGCACAACCTCAGACACAACACTGACACCGAAACACACCCGTGTTTCCAGTGTGTGCATTTAATCCACACACACACGCACACCTTGGAAGTAGATTTGCCACTTTGTGGCTGTGGAAGAGTTGGCAGCAGGTGCAAAGTAGTAACCAGCGGCGGTTCCATCCAGGCACACGACACCATCATCCACCTGGTCTGTCATCAGCTGCAGCTTCATTTCACCACCGTCCTCGGCACTGGTGTGAATGTGGCCATAAGAATGCGACAAAGTCAGCTTCAAGAGCTCTACGCTTGACAACACAAATACAGCCCTCCACTGGCACATGCACATGCACACAACCGCACACACACACGCACACACACACACGCACACACACACACACACGCACACACGCACGCACACGCACACACACGACACAACACAACACAACACAACACAACACAACACAACACAACACAACACACACACCCACATGCACACACGCACACACACGCACACACGCACGCACACGCTCACAATTTAACGCCATTCAAATGTGCCGTGGTTGATGGCTCTTGCATGACGTCGGCATGTACAGAGACAGCCATCAGGATGGCGCCCACGACAACAGCACCAAGCTGCATCTTGCTTGTCTTGCTTGTCTTGATGGAGCGTCAGTGCTCAGCTCAACACAAACAGCACAGTGAAAGTGGCTATGTTTTTATGTGTCGCTGTCGATGTCTTGAAAAAAAAATGTAATTTTTCCCGTCTTCTTCTCTTCAACGGACAACACAAAACAAAGACCCGCCAGCCAGCCAGAGGAGGTCAAATCAAAAAAACGCACCCCGACCCCACTCCCGCTCGCCCAGACATCATCATCATCAACTCTCAACAGCACTCCCTTCTTCCGCTTGCCCACGTTGTTGCAAGGACTCGGTCCGCACACAGAGACGCACACGCACACACGCTCACACAGTTTCGGCGCTCCTGCTTCCTTCCACCTCAGATCGGGTAAGGAGTCCCCATCACTCAACAAGAGAGACGAAGAACAGCGTAGAACTCGTGCGTTCGTGCGCTCCCTCGCCGACCGCCTGCAAACCGGAGGAACGGAACCGGCACACACACCCATAACCGGGGTGTTCCTCCTCAGGTGCGCTTTGTGACCGTGAGAACATGAAACCTTTTGCAGGTCACGTGGCTTGCTTGGTTGGTGTTTTGTTGAGTTTGGTTTGCTCTGGACCAAGCGATCCGCCCTGTGCCTCTCTGTGCATGGGTCGCAGGGCGGCGCGCTTTCACGCACAAGCGGGCTCCTGCCAAAGCACCCACAACCCATGCTTTTCAAGCGCACCGTTATTTCTGTGGTTGACTGTTGTTTGTGTGTTTCTGATCCAACCACAGACACCCCTCTAATAACCCTTGCCGTTTATCCACATCTGGTTGTTGCACCATAGGCACACGCACCATCACCCCTCCCCATGGAGGTGCCAATGAGTGTGGAGCTGTCTTCGTCGCTAGCGTGAGTGCTTGCCCAAACAGCCCTGTAACGTAACTGATGTGGAGATGAAACTGAGCCTTGTGCGTGGGTCTGTTTGATTGGTATGCGTGTCGCATGAGCCGTGCAGTACATGTGTGCCTGCGATGTATGTGTGCCTGCGTCTGTATGGGCCTTTGTCGAGTGTGTTTGGCCATGTCTGGGAGGTGTGGATGTACATGACTGTTGCGTACGTTCCTTCAAGCCACCCACCTTTCTCGTCGCCTTGCTTTCCACTCACTCACACACACACACACGCACACACGCACACATACACAAACGCACACACAAACATTCCCCCCCCCCCACACACACACACACACACACACAAACACGCACGCACACTCGCAAAAACACACCCACAACCATTCACTCCTGTACACACAAACAAACACACACGCACATACGCACACAAACATGTACCTGCCATCAACAACAACGACGACATGACATACACCTCATATCAGGCAAGAGACACCTGAGATGGCTTCGCTGGTGTCTGAGGAAGATACCGAAGAACAACACGATGCGCTGTCGGGGTCAGGTCCGAGCCCTGCAGATGTGAGCACGAACGCAGCTACGAGTGCTGCGGACCAGCCATCGTCACAGTCAACCCCTGCGCCACAGCAGGACGCTTCTTCCACTCCACATGCACCAGCACACACGCTGCCAACACGACAACCGACCGACAATGATGACGCCAAGGAGACGACACAGCAGACACAGCAGCAGCAGCAGCAGCAACAAGAAGAAGCCGCACCAGCGGCACCTGTACCGACTGAAACACACAACCGCGGCAGCCATGGTGACGAGGGTGAGACTGTGCACTCCGCGCACCAGGTGAAATCAGGGCCGTCTTCGCCCCAGCTGGAAATCCGTCCTTCGTCCTCGACGGCCAGCGTACGAGAGACACACCCCCCATCCTCGAAGAAGCAATCGCAGCAGCGCCATTCACGCTCCAAGACGCCCAAACAGCGTGTCTCAAACGCTTCAAACAGCTCAACCCCAACAACAACGTCCACCGTCACCCCTCCCACCCCGCAAGGTTCGCCGCTTTTCGTTCCTTGCTCGGTCGTAGAAAACAGACAGCTTACATCCCGCTCTCCACAATGCTGCGCAACCGCCCACCTTGCCTGCGTTAGGCGTGCTCACCATTGCCAATGCACATGCCATCATGTGCCATTTGAGCACTCACACAATCGCACACACACACACACACAATTGCACACACACATACACACAATCCATCGCCCCCCCCCCCGCACACACGCGCACATGAACACGCACACATACACCCACTCGTACACAAACACAAACTCGCGCGCGGGCGTTGTGCGCTTCAATCACTGCGCATGCAACCTTTGCCTCCTCAACGCCGCTAAATGCTCATCATGGGACCGCCAAACATCCATCTCCTTGTACGTGTTCGTCTTGGACATTGTTGTACATATACGTGCCATCTGCATCTACTTTGGACCATACCCTCACATGAATCACTCCGACCGCAAGCAGGTGAGCAAGATGTGAGCCACGGTAGAGTGGCAATGCCAGGGCATGCGGCCAGCGCAAGTTCTGTTCAGGTGGCAGGCACAAGCACGTGCATTGCTCCATCGTCCACCGAATGGCCGTCAGCGCGCTACGTTGTAGCGCCCTGGCTAACCACACGCTCAATGTCGAGTCTGCGGGATCTGAAGGCGGATTTGCACAAGAGCATTGAAGCCTCCCAGAGGTCAGCGAACGTGCACACGAGAAGGAAGCCAGCGGGCACGGGCACTGCACCCACCAGAGCCGCCTCGGCAAGCGCTCGTGCTGCGACTGCAGTGGGAACCGCCCCAGCGCAACCAATGCATCAGCGCAGCCAGCCCTCACCACACATGGTGCAAGGCAACCGCAACGTAAACCCTGCACCAGCCCACCGCAACAACCACGCAGGTGGACTGAACCTTACGCCCGCGGCAGGACCAACCATGCCCGCACCAGGCAGCCAGCTAGCCTCTGTTGCGTCCTCCTTCATGACGGCCGTGTCTGCTGCCGCACAAGCGCCCGCACACACGGCAATGGTGGCACCGCCCGTCGCCCGGCAACACCAGATGACGGCTTCCCTGTCGTTCCCACCGACCATGGGAACACCAAACACCACAGCATGGCTGGCCATGCAGCAGGCACCTGCAGCTGCGCCACAGAGCACGCTCATGCTGCCCACGGCAACAAGCTACCAGCAGCAGCCACGGTATCAGCAGCAGCCAGGCATGCTCTCAAACACACATCTGCCCAGCACCAACGCATACGCTGCGTATGGGAGCCAGCCCATGCAACAGCACGGGCGAGGCGTGACGACAGGGCTGGTGTCAGCATCAGGGCTTGCTGCGGGCATGCAGCGCAGCATGGTGCCACAGGGACACGCAGTCAACCCCTCCATGTCGGCCCAGGCGATGCCCTCCACCCTGCGGGCGCCCATCACCACAACCAGCATGCTGGCGTCGTTTGTGGCGCAAGGGGGGCGCTTGCCGCAACAGCAACAGCCCGGCGTCCAACACGCCGTGTACTCCTCAGCTGCGCATCCGCCGTACATGCGACAGGTTGCGCCAGCGCCGCGTTTGGGCATGACGGCCGCGTGGAGTCAGCCCAGCACATCACGCGTCGTCACCCATGCCATGCTGCAGCCAGCTGGCACCCTCCCTTCTGCCGCACTTTCACAACAGCAACAGCAGCAGCAGCAGCAGCAACGGGCACAGCAACTCAAGACAGGCGCTGTTGGTGTCATTCCTGGTGCGCCCCAGGCAACTATGATGATGCATGGTGGTCTGCAACCAGGCAACATGCCTGCAGGCAACGTTGGTGCCGTGGGCAGCAGCCCAGGCGGTGCAGTTGGGCGCCCCTCGCTGCCCAGCACGCACCACTCACAACTACCACCACAGCACCAGCAGCAAGTGGCGGTGAGCGGAGCCGCTGTAGCGACAGCGGAAGCACCGGGCAAGCGGAAGAAGAAGAAGAAGTCTAAAAAGTCCAAGAAGGAGCGTGGCGCACGTGCGCAAGCGGCGGGCGAGACGCAGGCTGCATCTGCATCCCACAGCCCGAGTGATGATGCCAAGGCGAAGAAGAAGAAGAAGAAGAGAAGAAAGAAGAAGGGCGAGGCGGATGTCAGTGAGAAGAAGGGAAGAAGAGAGCAGCAGGCGAAGAGGCGTAGCAGCGCAGAACGCCACCCATCCCAACACCCATCTGAAGCCAGCACAGCAAAACAGCACAAGTCCAAGACAAACGTCCTCTCAATCTTTCTTGAACCAGAGGGTGGTGGTGGTGGTGATGGTGGTGATCGCAGGAGTGGTGCCGCAACCACCGGCAATGGCGGTGACGACGAGCAGAATCGCGACCACAGCCAAGTCCGAGACACGGAATCGCCCACGCTTCCACTGCTGCCACCACCAGCGCAGAAAGCACATGCGCGTCAGCAGCACCAGCACCAGCAGCACCAGCAGCAGGCTGATGGCCAGTCAGGCACCGCATCGCCAGCTTTCTTCCCTCCCGACCAGCAGCAAGCGTTACACGCAGCAAGAGCAGATGCACAGGCACCAACACATGATCCTCAGCAACACCAACCACCTGCACAACAGCATCAAGTGAAGCAAAAGAGCGGGGGAGTTATTGCCGGCATCTTGCCGAAGCGCCGACGCACGCGCACAGACGAGTCGTCGCGCAAGCCCAAAACAGGCCAGACTGAGCAGAACAAGAAGCAGAACAAGCAGAAGAAGCTCGAGGCAGGTGCTGGGAAGAAAAAGAGAAAGGGTGCGAAGCACGCAAAATCAGAGCCAGAGGTGGAAAGCGACACCGGCGCTGCTGAACCGTCAGCGAGGCAGCCTGCAGAGCAGCGCCAGAAACCTTCTCCTGCCGTCACTCCTGCTCCCGCATCCACACCCCACGCTGAGGCAGAGAGTGAGCAAGAATCTGCAGCTGCAGCTGCAGCCGCAGCGTCGCAGCGAACGACTGAGGATGAAGGGGCGGACGAGCCCGTGATGGACGAGGAGACGAAGAAGGCGCGACGCCTGCAACGCATCTTGAACAAGCTGGGTGGAGCACTCGATGGGCACAAGAACAGGACGCCCGGTGCACGGCGCACAGGCAACTCATCCCGGGTGGCGCAGATGAGGGCGGATGCCGCTGGTGGGAGCTGGTCTGCTCACCAGGCTGGCACGGAAGCAGGCGCTCGGCGCGAACAAGGCAGTGACAATGAAGACGATGAAGACGATGATGTGTGGATGAAGGATGACGCGGAAGCAGAGGGTGGCCCTGGCGTCAAGCCGGCCGGTTTTCTTCGGCGTGCGTTTGCCTTACATCAGCAGCAGCAACGGCGCACGCAGCAGCAACAACAACATCAGAAGCAGCAGCAGAAGCAAGCCCGCGATGAAGCTGACAGTGGTGCCGCTGAAGCAGCGCCCACAGCAACCGCAACAGCTGCCACCGCAGCTTCTGCCTCGCCCACGGCTTCATCCCTCGGGGTCACAGACCGACCTAAGCGCGCCCACCATCAGGCCAAGTACGTATGACTGCCGTTTTGGTTTGTTTGTTTTTTTTTTGCGTTGGTGGGTTGGTTGGTTGGTTGGTTATCCTCGTAACCTTGCTTCGCTTTTACGCGTATGTACGCTTTGTATGCGCGTTTTTGTGAGTGTGTGCATGTGTCTGTCTGTGTGTGTGTGTGTCTGCCTGTGATGTACACGTGCCTTAGTAACGTGCGGCTCACACGCTGCACCTGCATCGCACACGTGATGTGCAGACGTCGCAAATCGGGCCGCTCCAAGCGCGTGATTGATGCGCGGCGCTACGAACCAACTGACAAGCACCCCGATGCCCTCAAACACATCTGCACTTCTGTACGATGATTATGCGTGCTGCTTACGCTCCATGGGTGTGTGAGAGCTGACGTTGTGTGTGTGTGTGTGTGTTTCCAAGTGATACTTCTCACGTGTGCCGTGACGTGATCTTGCCCTTCATGTCTCTGCCCGCATTCAGACGACACTGGAAGACGATACAGATCCACGACAGCAACTCCTGCTCAAGGTAGTGTAGCGGCGATAATGATGATGATGGTTGTCGTGGTGGTGGTGGTGGTGGTGGTGGTGATGGTGGTCACCGCCCTCGTGGCGTGTGCATGTACGAGTGTGCGCACGCGCCTCGTCGATGTGTCAGCCCGGTGGTTTTGCGCGGGCTCTTCTCCAGTCTCTCACGCCCTTGTATCCGCATGCTCGCTCACCTTGTTTGTTTTCTACGCGTGCCTCGCCCATTTTCTCCATTGCAGAGCGTGGTGCGCAATGCAAACGGCAGCGATCCCGACGCGCTCCTGGAGGCGGCGCACATGATCACAGAGGGCCAGGCTGATGTCCGAAAGCAGGCCGTGCATGCAACGGCCCTGCGTGTTCCCCAGTCGACATGGACAGGGTACACCATGAGGAGGGGGGCAGATGCTGCACAACACCCAACCCGGCGCACCGAGCCAGACTACGCGCAGCTCACAGAGACGGAGGTGCGTTGTGAGACCGTGTGCAGCAAATTGATTGGAGAGTTACTCGTGCGTGTTACCCTTAAGAGCTTGTTTTGTTTGTTTTGCTGGCTCGTATTTTTGTTTGTTTGTTCGCGAGGGAACGCATGCCATTTCTCTCAGCCGTTGTGATCGCCCTGCTTTTCTGCATGTGTGCGTGCATATGCAGTGGTCTACGGTTGCTGAGCGCAACAGGAAAGGGCAGTTGCGGCACCGCGAGCAGGAGCGCAACTTGGCTGAGCTGATTCGTGTGCAGCGCCGAATGGGCATCACAGGCGACCGTGCCCCTCTACCGCTCTCATGTACGAACACTGCAGAACTTGTTGTTGTTCCTGTGTGTGTGTGTGTGTGTGTGTGTCTGTGTGTCTGTGTGTGTGTGTGTGTGTGTGTGTGTGTGTGGTTTTGTGCGGTGACACCTTATTTCAAAACTGCCTGGCATCGGGGATGGTTGCATTGTAGATACGCTGGAGGAATCCGCAAAAGATGGCAGCAAGGACGCAGCCAAGGACGACAAGAAGGAGGGCAGCGAGGAAGACGGAGACAGCAGCGAGGAAGGCAGTGGCAGTGGTAGCGGTGGCTCTGCCGATGATGACGAGGAGGAGGAGGAGGAGGAAGAGGAGGAAGCAGACAAGTCGCAGCAGACAAGTGCGAAAGAGCAGGAGCAGCAAAAGCCAGATCAGCTTGAATGTGAGTGTGTGTTTGACATGACGCTGTGGCACAACAGTTCGTTGATGTGATGATACTATCTTTGCCCAGACATTTACATGCACACCAAAGACCTGCGTTGAGTTACCTTGATGTTTAAGTGTCTTGTCCTCCTAATTAACTCGCATCTGCGGCATTGTGTTTGATATGTGTGTGTGTGTGTGTGTGTGTGTGTGTGTGCATCCAATAGGCGACCCGTCCTCTCTGTTTGCGGGCACACTCGTTTGGACCCGATTTCGCTCGTACCCATTTTGGCCTTCCATGGTGGGTTGCTCCGTCTTTGCTTTCCTTTTCTTGGTTTTGCTGTTGTTGTTGTTGTTGTTGTTGTTGTTGTTGTTGTTGTTGTTGTTGTTGCTGCTGTTGTTGTTGTTGTTGTTGTTGTTGCTGTTGTTGTTCATCCTCCTGCATGCAAGCTTTGTCACAGGGCGCTGTGTCAACTGGTGCTCACTTTGCGGTCTTGTTGGTAACGTCATGGCTCACCATTGCGTTGGCATTGGCAGGTGGTTAACAATCCGCTTGTGCCGGAGAGCCAGCAAGACGTTGACGCGCTCGTTGAGGGCGCTACCAAACAGCAGAAAGAACAGAAAGAACAGAAACAGCAGCAGAAAGAACAGCAGCAGCAGGACGGGGATGATGAGAAAGGAGACGTAGCAGGCGCTCACGACGCCGCTCCACCGCCAGCGAAGAAATCAAAGACAAGCACGGACAAGACGGAAGCTGAAGAGGGCACGAGTACGCCTGCTCTCAATGAAGCGGCAGCATCGAGTGCTGATGACGCTGTGATCAAGGCGCGTCTGTTCACGATTGCCTGCAAGCAAGTTCTCAACGCAGCGCCCGCCGACTTGCACGGTGTCGTGCGTCGGCTCTTCCGCTCGCGCTTGAAAGACAGGATTGCTGTCCTCTTCTTCGGCGACAACACCATGTGCGTTTTGCTCGTGCAACAGGGATGTTGGTTGTTTGATTCTGGTTTGTTTCGTTTGTTGTCGTGTTCGAGGCGTCCGTCCAGCTTGCACACTATTGGCGCCCATGTCTGTGTGTATCACTCTGAGTGCATCTGCGAGTGCATTTGTTGGTGAACGCTGATTGATGTGACCATGCCCGCTGTGCTCCCATCACATACGTGTGTGCTTTCATCTCACACATGTTTGTGCTTTCGGTCTTCCTCTGTCCCTCCTTCCCTCGCTTGCTCTCTTGCTCTGACCGAACCACACCGGCACCTCCAACAGTGAAGTCCTCAGCTCGCCGCTTCGCAACTGCCGGCTCTTCCGCGGCCACCAGCACCCGTCGTTCGTGCAGGCTGGGCAGGAGCACTATCTCTCCGATGTCTTCCGCATCGCGCTTAGCCAGGTGCACAGTGTGTGTGTCTGTGTCTGTCTGTCTGTATGTATGTATGTATGTATGTATGTATGTATGTATGTATGTATGTATGTATGTATGTATGTATGTATGTATGTGTCTCTGTCTGTGTGTCGGTCCATCCGCGCGGCTCTTTGTCCGTCCTTTTGTCCATCTCTTTGTGCGTCTGTAGAATGGAAGCTGCACTCGTGCAAATCCCCCCGCCCATTCTGAGGCACTCACTCGTGACGCGTGTCTCACTCGCGCGCCTGCACATGTGCACGACGCTGCATCGCAGGCGGAGAGCCTTGAGGACGTTGAGAACAAGCTGCACCGGCCCGAATACAGGGACATGCCGCTTGCCTCCCTGCTGGACACATTTGTTTCCGCTGATAGTCCGTCCAGTTCCCCCTTGGCAGAGCAGGAACAGCAAGAGCAAGGCGCGGCAGACGGCGAAGAAGAAACGGGACGCGTGTCTTCGTCGAGAAGGGGCCGCCAAACGCGCAGATCTCGCGAAGGGCCGGCGGCAACACCAAGCGCGGATGATGCCGCTGGCCCGCGGACACGCGGCAGTGCAAGACGGGCGTCGGATGGCGTGAGGGGCAAGCGAAAGGCGGACGTTGAGGCGTCACCGTCCGCATCAACACGTGCTTCAACCGGTGCGGCAGCGTCTCGCGGAGGGAAGCAGAAGCAGGTGGCCGGCAGTGGTGATGGTGGCGCCACGCCGCCCAGCAAAGCCGCCAAGGTCACGCGGGCCTCGCGGGAGAAGGGCGGTAGCACGCCAGCGACCAAGGCGACCAAGGCGACGAAGCAGCCGGTGCGACAGCAACCACGCCGCTCAAACGCACGCTTGTCGCCACAGAAGCAGAAGCAGCAATCTCCCGCAACCAAGAAGGTGACGGCGTCCGCAGCTCGAGCATCATCATCGCCGCTATATGCAGCCATTCCCTCGCGCGCGCTCAAGTCAGCAGCTCACGGCAGCATTGCACCGTCGATGCACGATGCGAACACACTCAACCCCACGAGCCCGCTCTGGACTGCCCGTCTCTCGGCCACCGACAAGAGTAAGATGGGCTTGCAATCGTGTGTGAGAGAGAAAGTGTGTGTGGTGTGTGGGTGTGTGTGGGTGTGTTTGGGTGTGTGTGTGTGTTTGGGTGTGTGCGTGTGGGTGTGTGTGGGTGGGTGGGTGTGTGCGTGTGTGCGTGTGTGCGTGTGCATGTGTTTGGAAGGGAGCGTAGATATTTAGTTTTGGCTTGTCCACTCGCAAGCTTATTGAATCACACTCCACACCATGCATGTATTGCTGCCCACACCTCTCGCCCGTGCACTGCGCCACGAAAACAACAAAGGCCAAGACATTTCGCCGTTTACGTGGTCGCGGGAAGCGCTGCTCGCTCTACAGCCGGGCGATCTCGTGTGGTGCCGCTTCCGCTCATATCCGCACTGGCCAGGCCAGGTGCGCTGCGCTACTGCCTTGCTTGGCCCACGTGACTTTGTGTGTGTGTGTGTGTGTGTGTGTGTGTGTGTGTGTGTGTGTGTGTGTGTGTGTGTGTGTGTGTGTGTGTGTGTGCGTGTGTGTGCGTGTGGGGGGGGGGCTTTGCGTGGGTGTGTTGTTGTCTCGTATTTGGCGTGCATGTGCCTTGTGGATTGGTGCTGAGGGACTGATTCACGGCAGGAATTGCAAGCATCACCTCATTATCTCACTCATGCACACACACACACATGAACAACCAATGTGTTCATGAGCAGGTGCAGCGTGTTGAGGATCGCCAGAGCGGCCCTGCGGTGTGGATTGCATTTTTCGGCGACAACACGCTGTACGCTTGCTGGCAAGGAGCTGTTTCTCACGGCTGTGCAGGAGGTATGGGCTGTGCTCGCTTGACCTTGCTGCTTGCTGGTCGTTCAATCGGCCACAGATTGATTTCTCATCGTTGCATGAGATGTACACATGTGCCGATTCGCCAGCTCACTGTCGACACTTCCACGTGTGTGTTTGTGTTTGTTTGTGCTGTGCGTATGTCTGTATGTGTCTGCCTGACTGCGTGTGTGCGTGTGTAGGCGCTTGACATGGAGGCGGAGAAGTTCCATCTGAAATCCAAACTGCCATCGGTTGAGGAGCGACAACTGAAGCAAGCCATCGAGGTGCGTCACAGCTGTCCGTCTGTTGTGTGCATGTGTGTACGTGTTTGTGTGTGTGTACGTGTTTGTGTGTTTGTGTGTTTGTGTGTGTGTGTGTGTGTGTGTGTGTGTTGCAAGGGGTCTCCTCTTGCGTGGTAATTACGCTCACACGTGTTCTTGCTGGTGCTCATCGATGTGTGTGTGTGTGTGTTGGACTGACAGACGGCGACACAGCGACAGCGGCAGTGGAGTGGATCAAGCACACGCCCCGTGGCCGCGCCCACAACCCAGCTCGCCCAGCTCACGGAAGAGTAAGCTGACGCATATGCGAACACACACACACACAAAAACACAGATGACAAGTGACAATGAATGTGGTGCCTTGTGCAGTTTGCCTTTTCCTCCTGGCCTCGCCAAGACGTTAACGTTTGCTTTGGCCCTTTTGTGTTCTCCTGCAGGGTGTTACCCGTTCTCGCCCGCGCCAAGTTTCAAGGCAAGCAGCTCTTGCGAAAGTAGAAGACCATGCAGACACGCGCGTGCACTTTTTGTGTGCTCAGCACGCCGCCTTTTCTTTTCTCTTCTTTTTGTTTCCGCCTTGCTCTTGCCTTTTGTTTGAGTTACATAACCTCCTGGCTGTGTTTGGATCCACCGGGGGGGGGGGGGTCGCGTGCTAGATCGTAGATACTCGTTGACACCAGTGTCCCCGTTTGTTGGACTGCGTGTGAGAGAGTGCGTGAGTGAGAGAGAGACCTTGTTTGTTGGGGGAGTGCTGTTTGTATATGTGTGTGTGTTTGAAGCTGTGCGTGGGCGTTTGTAGATGCATGTGTGTGTGTGGGCGTTTGTAGATGCATGTGTGTGTGTGTGTGTGCCTTCGCGCATGTCTGGTTGAAAGCGTGTTTGTTTTGTGTGAACACGTTGTCACTGCCTCTCCACTGTTACGTCGATATGGGTGCCGCAGTGCCGTGTGCAGTTAGCTATCCTTCTTGTGGCTGTGGGTGTTTGTGTACATGTGCATGTGACCTCTGCGCCACCGGTATCACTTCCTCAGTTCAGTTCACATGAGTGCATGAAACGAATACCACAGCTCTACAGCTTGCTCGACCATCGTCACAGAAGAAGAGTCGTTGTGTGTGTGCGTGTGCTGTGTGTGTGCGTGTGTGTGTCTGTGCGTGTGCTGTGCGTGTGCTGTGTGTGTGTGCTCTGTGTGTGTGTGTGTGTGTGTGTGTGTGTGTGTGCCGTGTGTGTGTTTGTGTGCTCTGTGTGTGTGCGTGTTTGTGTGTGCAGTTCGTCTGTGTTTCTGTGCACCCTCTTTTCCAATTGCAGGAACGGTCGTTTGCAATTTGCAACAACGCTTTTCTCTGGTGGCGAATGATGACCAACGCCACCATCCAAACGCACGCATGCCTGACGAAACACACAAATCACACACACACCAGCTTCCCACCAACGAGCCAGCCAGTATGCACTTGCGCGACTGCTGGCTGGCTGGCATTGCTCTCATGCCTGGCATTCCACACACGCTTTGAGCGCTGCGCGTTCGTTGGCTTGCTTGCACTCTTTCCTCCCTGTTTGTTTGTTGACCAAACCAACCACAGTGTGTTTCTTCTCTCCTCAAACAGTTTGATCAGTTTCACATCCACCCATCCAGCATCCATCCAACCACTCAAACGCTTGAGTTCTTCTTCTCCTCTGCTGCTACCTGCTGTCGCCGCCTCTACTGCTGCTGCTGCTGTCGTGAGCCCTTCCTTCCTTTGATCACGCCAACGTCGCCCTTGTCAGACGTACCTCTCCCCCTCGCCCTCCGTTTGAACAAGGAGACAAACGAAGATGAACAATGACCCTCAGACCAGCGTGGAGCCAGCCAAGGAGCAGGCCTCATCGCCTTCCGCCTTCAAGAAGATGGTGCAGAGCGTCAAGCGCATCACCACCCGCCACGCAAAGGTGTGTGTATGTGTGTGTATGTGTGTGAACAAACGCCTTTCATCTCTGCTGTTGGTTTGGTGCAATGACGTGGTTCTGCAAGTGCAGGGCATGAATGAATGCATGTCCATTTTCGACGTTGGTGCCTGCGGTTCCTCATGTCACACTAACCTCCCACCATGGCCTTTTATTACGGGTTCACCCAGAGCGATGTGGAGCGCGCCTACAAGTTTGGGCAGGAGCTCGGCACAGGCAACTTTGCCGTGGTGCGGCTCGCTGAGCACCGTGGCACCAAGCAGAAGTACGCGTGCAAGATTATCAACAAGGCCCTCTGTGCAGGCAAGGAGGACATGATTGAGACGGAGATCAGCGTCCTGAAGAAAGTCAAGCACAAGTACATTGTCGGCATGCACGAGTGCTTCGACACCCCAGATAAGCTCTACCTCGTCCTCGACTACGTCTCCGGTGGCGAGCTCTTTGACCGCATCGTCGATGAGGTGTGTGTTTGTTGTGTTCACATGTGTGTAAACATGTGTGTAAACGTGTATGTCTATTGTGTTCTGTCGTGTGTGTGTGCGTGCGTGCGTGTGTGTGCGTGTGTGTGTGTGTGTGTGTGTGTGTGTGTGTGTGTGTGTGTGTGTGTGTGTGTGTGTCGTGTCGTGTGTGTGTGTCGTGT